CTTTTGGGAAGCAATTTTACCCTAAGGCAAGAGATGAAAGTTGGCTCAGGTGTAAGCAATTAGCCAAGACTTGCTAATTATTTGTTTTTTCTCCCTTTCCTGGGCTCCGCAGACATCTGCTTAGCATGACACCAAAGTTCTTTGTGTAGTGGAGCTATTGTTGTCTCAAAGGCAGATGATTCTGTGGAAACCACAGAATCATCTGCCAGGATCAGGACGCATGTGTCTGTCCATTTTTTTTATTATTTTCTGAAGAGAGTTTATAGCCTGTGGTGAATTTTTAAGATGGTCCATAAAATTTATGATATATATACATATGTATGTATATATATAGCATGCAATTCACCTTGCGGGCAATTTTGCTTTCTATGACTCCAGTGACCTAGGTAGTCACTATCTGAAAACATTACTTGGGCATTCCTGAAGCCAACAAAACCCTGAAATCATGTGTCATTTTGAGGAAACACAATAAACTTTCATGCTTAAGGAGAGGATGGTCCTTCCACCTACCGGTTAGGAATTCAATCACCTCAACATCAACTCTATGGGCGTGCGTTCAGGTAACCCTGGCTTTTCTTGCTAATAACCCTAAACTGTTAAAGAGTAATGACCAGTGATCAAAGAAAAAGCTATGAAATGTTTGTTTTACCTGAAAATGTGTAAAAAAATTTTTTTACTTACTAAAGAATGAGAAGAATTATATGCATTTCCAAGATCTATAGTGAGGATGAATAGGGCCACCCCTCCACGTTATATACAAGATCATTCAGTAGCGTCTGTGGTTTCAAGCATCCATTGGTAGTCTCGGAATGAATTCTTTTTTTTTTTTTTTTTTTTGATAAAAGGGGGACTAGTGCATGTACAATAGAATACTACAATCACTAAACATGGTGATTCTTCCTGGAACATGCTATAATGCCTTAGATGAAAACACAAGGAGTATAGCAGAAAGTAATGGAATGTAGAATATGCTCTCTCTGTCTCTGTGTGTGTGTGTGTGTGTGTGTGTGTGTGAGCGCACGCGCGTGTGTAGGTCAAACTCCGGTATCACTCCTCATGCACCATCCATCTTGTTTTTTGAGACAGCATCTCTCACACGGTTTGGAACCCACCCTATGGTTGTCCTGGATGGCAGCAGTCCTCAGGCACCCTCCTGCTTCTGTCTCTCGGGCATTGGGATTTCAAATGCTTACCGTCACACCTGGGCTTTCATATGTGATTTCTGGGGTTCAAACTCAGGTCTACGTGCTTCTCTGGCAAGTTTTACTGCCTTAGCCGTCTCCCTACCCATTACAGTCATTTCTTATATTGCATCCCTGCCAATCAACTTCTTACATGAAACCTTCCAGCAGCCAGGGACTGATCACTAAGATACGTGACTTTAGGGTGCTTTCGTTAAAAAAAAAGTTCTACTTTACTTATGATGCATATACACTAGAAGTGACATGGGCAAGAATGATGGCCAAAGAAGTAAAAGAAGTAAGGATGGCATAGTATGGTGAATGTCTATTTGGAAAGGCTGGAGACAGGACAGGTAAGGGGGTCACGGAACTGCAGCAGAAGTAAGCCTGAGATTCTCAAAGTCTATTGAAAAACAAAGGGGGGAACTCTAGCTCTTCCTGTCTGACGAAAGGACACACACTGTGTTCCCACAGGAGGAAGATAGTCTCCTGTGTTCTAGGGTGATTTATGACTCTTTTTTTTTTTTTTTTTTTTTTTGTACTGTGAACCTCTGAGGCGCACACAGCACAGTGGCTGTTTGCCAGATGTCTTACTGGAAACACACAGATGTCTTACTGGAACCACAAAGACATTCCTCAACAGAGACTGAACTCTAGCTTTAAAAAAAAGCATAAGTGGTGCTTAATTGCTTCAATAAGTCAGTTTCCAGCTGCATGCTCCAGATGAAGGCATGGAGCCTGTTTCTGGAGGTGGTTTCAAAGACGTGAATCCCATTTTTCTCTACTTTCTAGAAGACAGTTGATGCCAGTGGAAGCTTTCTCGCTCTGGCCTCCTAACAAAGACATTCAAGTGAATGTATCTTTTTTTCTTGGATGTCCCCTAAGCCCCCTCCTTTGCAGGGACTCTCTCTCTGCAGACCCCTGTGGGACTGGGGGAGAAGGATCCAGACATGCCATGGCTTAACTCTAACTCTTGATGCAATGGGAAAACTGGGACCCTAAAGACCTGTTCAAACCCCATTTTGAAGTTTGAGTCAAGAAGTAAAAGATTTAGAGTGTTATCCCCCTTCAGGATCTTGGCATCTTTTTCTTGGCCCTTGCCTTTGGTGTACAAAAGGTGTTTTGTTTTGATTTGGTCACTAATTTCTGAGCATGTTTTCATATGATTAGACACAGATCCATCCAAGTATTGTGGTAGAAGTTGTTTCAGATTGTCTAGTTTTTAGAAAGAGGCTTTATTTTTATTTTTTATTTCTGTGTCCCTCTGTGTGTCTGTGTATGTGTGTACACACTGGTGTTCCCCAGAGGCCAGAGAGGGCATTGGATCCTCTGGAGACAGAGTTGCAGGTGGTTGTGAGCCCACAGGACCTGAGTTGCAGGTGGTTGTGAGCCCACAGGACCTGAGTGCTAGGAACTGAGCTCTTAAGAGCTGAGCCATCTCTCCATCCCAGCTGTTTGGTTTTTAAACTCCATAATCAGGATACTATGCTGATAGTATTCAGTTGAAAACTTCAATTCTTATGAAAAAGTTTTGAACATGTCTATGTACTTTATAATCAGGGGCTTACTGGGTAGCCCTGGAATTAGAAGTTGGGGAGTTACAGTACCTACTGGTAATATTATCAATTCAGTTAATGTTATTTTCCGATAGTCACTTAAATCAGCAAACTTAAATCTGTAGAGAGTTACAGCGGCTACTGGTAATATCTTCAATTCAATTAATTTCATTTTTTGATAGTTTCCTATCAGCAAATTTAAATATGTTTTCAGCTGTCATGTCCACAAGAAGTCCATCTGGTAACTCTTACTCTCCAGGACATTGGGAGGAGGTGGGGCCTTGCAGGAGGTCTTCAGGGCATTGGGGGAATACTCTAGAATGGAGTTATAGAGTACCAACCCTTTCTCTTAATGTGCTTAGATTTATTTTTATTTATTTATTTTTTTAGTTGATGCTAAAATACACTCAGTTTATAAACATGAAGACTCTATGGGAATGATTTAGGCTTACGCTGCAGACAAATTCAGTTTATTTATTTATTTTTAATTTTTTATGTGCAAGACTGTTTGCCTGAATGTATATGTTTGGTGCCTGGTGTCAGACTCCCTAGAACTGGAGTTGCAGATGGCTACAAGCCGCCACATGGGTTCTGTGTAAGAGCCACTGAGCCCTCCCTGAACCTCCAACGAACTCTGAGTTTAAAGCACTAGTATCTCAGCTGCATTCTGCTTTCCTCCCCACGATGGCTTCATTATCAGGTCCCATACGGCAGTGAGCCGTGTCAAAGCTCTTGCCCTTAAAGGTAAATCCAGCAGCAGCCAAAAGAAAATACCTTGACTTAGCTCCTTCCACCAAATTCTGGTATTACTTTTGGCGTGATACGAGGAGGCCTGATTAAACCAAAGGATCCACACCTGATGAGGATAGAGTTAATTGGTTGGTTGGAACCTAGAGGTAGAGCCTTGAGATTAAAGATAGGAAATAGGGCTCCTGAGAGAAAATGGAGTATGGATGCTGGGGGGGGGGGGATGCCACGCCCAAAGAAGGTAGCAGCCAGAGGGGAGGCAGGCAAGGTGTAAGGCAGGACTGGTTATGCAAGAAGAACACATTCTCACGTTTGAGATGGTAGCAAAAAAGACATACACAGGCAATCAGACACGTAGGTGGGGGCAAGTTAAGGAAACGCATGCTGAGTACTCTTACTTTCAACTAAACGCCATTTGAAGAAACACCGTGTTTAAAAAAATAGCTTAGACCTATTGCATCGATCGTATTACAGCAAATACCAAGAAATAAATAACAAAAAATAAAATTGTACTGCTGGTAGATCAAAGAAGTGTGTTTTCATTTCACCCAATTTAGACAGACTCTTTATAAAACCTAGGCATGACTTTTAAACTTCACAAAATGCTCCATAACATTTTGCGTATTATTCCATAGAACATTCTGCTGGAAAAGGCGTCATAATTGCTATTGTCAATGCTAGAAATAGTGTTACAATTGTTATATATTCAGTTACTGTTATTTTTTCCCCTTTGGGGGTGTTTCTGTAGCATATGTTCCCAGGGGCAAGATACTGTTGTGAAAGACAATGTATATTTTATGTCTCCCCAGTTTGCTACAAAATGATAGTTCACTATGGATGCCCCCCTCTCCCGTCACATCTGGAAATGCTAGCTTTACCATGTGCTGGAGGACATTTTAGCCATGTTATCCCATTAATGCCTATAAGAGAACAATTAATGGAACACATTAAACCACTAATGCCACTTTGGTCTTGATAAGGTATTTAATGTTCACAGTAAATGATAGAAAATTTATAATGATCTCTATTTTACAAATAGGGAAACAAAAATATAAAAAGAGTAACTAAGCCACCAAGGGCCCTATAACTAAGAAAGGGAGAGCTGGTGTTTGGACCACGGGTATTGAACCCAGGATGTGCATACTCAGTCATGAGGCTATATTGCCTTATGATAATTTTTGGTGGGTGTTTCCGCATATCATGTTAATGACTATATACACTCTTGGGTGAGAATTTCATTATTTCTTTATCTAGTAGGTTCTTGATATTTCTGCCCCAAAGTAGAGAGAATAGTGCAGTTTTTATAATTTGAATGCCCCAGACAAGGAGAGATTTACTATAAGTCATGTATTTTCTTTATCCCTCATCATTGTGTGTGGTGTTTGAAACTAATAATTACATTTTAAAAACCCAAGTATTTTCATCTTACCAAGGAACACCAGGGTTTTTTTTTTAAATTTTAGCTCTGATGGTTGCATTATCTAATTCATCCCTGCTGCTTTCCATGGAAACATACCTTTTGGGAGTGCTTGAACATCTGAAATGTGGGTACTGCTCTGATCTGACAAAGTTGGGTCAATTCCTGGGAAAGAAAAAGAAATGTCATGAAGTCATGGTTTTGGTGACTCTCTCTCTGTACCATGTGTGCTACTTAGTGACTTCTAAGAAGCACTGTCTTAAAGTCTAAGGGCACCTGACACTTTACAGAGTTTCCTAACATACCCTCCAGGCCTCCAGGACACCCCTTAATTCTGGTACTCTTGGGGTTCTCTTTCCAGAGCTCTCAGTGAGGGATGAGATGACAGTCAATTGGAATGGATGGGGAGTGGCTAAATGAGTTGTGTTTAGCAACCCTAATGATGGCAGAGGAGAGCCAGGAAGCCTACTATGGAAATATTGCAAAACGAGGAAGGAAAAGACATGTCTTCATCGGTCACACTGAAGACACCACACACTCAAGGCTAGCACTTTTTTTTTCTTTTAAGCCTTGTTAGCCTTTTCCCCTCACTACTCATCTTTACTTCTGAAACATCTTGGAGCCCAAGGACAAGAGAAAAGTCCAGGACTCCGCAATTTTGACCCAAATCAAACTGTTTCCAAGTGGCATTTTTTTTTTGTTTGCTAGTTTCCCTTGTTTGGAAGCTGAATAAAATCGGCTGTCCATGGACAACAGAATTGAACTCTCCTGTTGATATGCCATTTGCTTGACTTTAACTCTTTTCTGCCCAGAACACACAGACCCAAAGAAGCGTTACACACACACACACACACACACACTCACACACACCAAGTTGTATTTTTAGTTATAATTGCTACAGCAACAGCTACTCAGTAAGTTATTACTAGAAAAGTGTGTCTTTTGCTTCACGTTAAGAGACAAAAAGCTATAATCCAAACGCTGAGAGTAACTTGTGTTGGCAGGAATGTGGGAGCAATCAGAACTCTCTGCTGTAGCAGTGAGAAAGTAAAATGATGTGGTTTATTTACAAAATGGTTTTCCAGTTCCTCCATATACCATCAAAGTGTAGTAGCAACAACTACACACATAGATATAGCTCCAAGACAAATCAAACTTATGCTCATACAGAAATTTATACAGTAATCTTTATACAAATATTATCACAATAGCCCAAATATTCCCAGCTATGCCAAGTTTGTGTCGTTGATAAAATTATGACTAACTATGACACACAAGATAACTAATTTCTGATTTTCTAATCATTTTAAAGTTCAGCTTCAACCCAATGCATGGGTAGGTCACCTGCTGTCTTTTCTGTCATAGTTTGAATGCTGAACGTCTCTCCTTGGTTAGTAGCCTGGTCTCCAGCATGGAGCCATTGGAGGTAGTAGAGTGAGGCCTTCTAGGAGGCTGTTGGTCCCTTTGGGTCACATCCAAAAGGATTGAGACTAGGACGCTGATTATTTTGGGAGAGGGGACAGGAGAAGGGGGAGGATGGATCTAGGGACAAGAGGGAAGGATTTCCTGGAATTTTTATGCTATATAAACAACACACCCCACCACTAAAAAAAAAAAGACAGGACACCAAAATGAAATATGTCAAAATATCTATAATTATTGAGCTAGGTTTTAGAAAATGATTAATAACTTACTGAAGGGCACACGAGCCAGTTAAAGTTGGGGCTGAGGGGAAGTCAGGAGTCGTGAGATTTTTATACAAAAAAGGGTGATTGGTTGCCAGATCGAACCAGATGAGGCCACTGCATGAACGGCTCATGTTCACTGGGTAAAGCATAGGGCACCACCTAGATGCATGACAGGCTGGCCTTTAAAACCATTGGCTGGCTGTATTCCTGCTCTGTGGTTGTTAGCTTTAAAAGATGCTTGCTGTGGGGGCAATAAATGAGTTCCTGCTAGACTAGGCTCCCTGCTGCATCTGAGTGTCTCCGGGATCCTGGGAGGTTGGGGAATGGGTGAGCTGTGTATTTACCCTTCCTCGGACTCAGCTCAGCCTTCCGTGGTTGGACTAAGACCCTGAAACTTGCTGCAACCTAAAAGCAAATTTTCACCATGGATTCATTTTAATGTCTGCTTAGATCAGTGGTTCTCAAACTTCCTAACGCTGTGACTCCTTAACACAGTTCTTCATGTTGAGGAGACCCTCAACCACACAATTATTGAGTTGTTACTTCATAACTATAATTTGATACTGTTACGAATCGTAATGCACGCATCTGGCATGTGACCCCCAGGGGGATGTGACTCACAGATTGAGAACCACGGCCTAGAGTAACAACAGGCTGAGGAGAAAGCTGTGAAGACTGTTGGGACTGACTGGTGATGTGTGTCAGAGCAGAAGGGGTACCGTATATTTGCTAATATTTAAAGAAAATTATGCAAAACAGTTTGCTGCCTTCATCATGAAAACAGATATATGGAATTCCACTTGTTTTTAACCAGACGGTGTCATCACTTTGACCAAGTGACTCAGTGGTGTTGGGTTTTGATGTTCCACACCGAAGATTTAAGAGCCTTACCTTAGATGAGTCCACATCCACATTAGCAAACATGACGTTTTGGTATTTTAAAGACATTGCCTTCAATACAAAAGAATAAAATAATATAAATATTAACATTTGTACCAAAAACGTCATTTTGAAAAAAATAAATGTATAATGTATGACTCAGTTGTTTTCCTCTTTCCTTCCTTCCTTCCTCCCTCCTTCCCTCCCTCCCTCCCTCTTTCCTTCCTTCTTTCTTTCTTTTTGGCTTTTTTTTTGAGACAGGGCTTCTCTGTGTATCTCTGGCTGTCTTGGAGTTCACTTTGTAGACCAGGCTGGCCTTAAACTCACAGAGATTTCTCTGCCTCTGCTTCAAAAGTGCTGGAGTTAAAGGTGTGTGACACTCTGGCCCGGCTATGAGTTGGTCGTTAGAGAGACCTACAGCATCATTCTGAAGGTTCACTACAGCCTAGAACTTGAAGCACCTTAAGGTCAGGTGAGGATTCTTAGCAGAGTCTAAGAACAAAGCTGAAGATTGGCATTCTAAGATTGGAGGACAAGATACAGCACAATTGAATTGTGTGCAGTGGGGCCAGACCTACCCTGTCGGGGGTGGGGGGGACAAAACAGCATTTTCCTGAAGGTGTCAAGGGATTACCCGTAATGGCTTTCAAAATTCGTCTGGGGTGATGGGGGTAGGCTTAGATCACGGTTAGGAACTGCAGAAAGATGCATTTCTCTGAACCAGATACGTGCTTGGTGCTTTGACCTTCTCACCTTGACAGGGTTTGGGAGGTGTGATCCTGGGGGAAGTAGGTTTCCCTGATAACCATCATCAGCCTAGTTTTTCGTCCAACTTTCCACACTCTCTGCAGTCTATCAGGTACTGAAACTAGATTTTTTTTCAGACCCCTTTGTCAGCTGACTTCCAGCTAGCCAATGGGAAACCATGAAAGGTGGTAGGGAAAAGGGGCTGTCTTGTACTCCTGCTTCTATTTTGTTCTGAAAATGTCTTCGACAGAAGTGGTGACAGCAAGGTTTGTCACAGGGGATGCAGATGAAGGACAGTAGTTACCTATGCCAGCACAGATTTACGTTCAGACAGCTGTTGGTAACTTGATAGTATCTTGATTTGTTTAAAAAAAAAAGTCACAAGCATTTCCTGGAAGGTAACATACAAGGTGTCCAAAGCTTGGCCAAGGGGAATCAATACCACAAGAAGCCGTCCCTGGAGGAGGAAGAGGCAGGAAACTGCAAGGCGTGGGGAGGGCTGAGATGGATACCCAAGAAGCCACTAGTAATCCTCCCTGAAATTGTGATTTATGGGGCGGGGTGGGGTGGGGGTGGGGGTTCTTTCTCCTGTGGTCCCTTGAAATGGTGATATGGGAGAAGATTCTTGTATAATAAACACAAGAAACCAGGCATTGGTAGCACGAGAGCCTTTAATCCCAGCACTCTGGAGGCAGAGGTGGGTAGATCTCTGTGAATTCTGGTCTACAGAGTGAGTTCCGGGACAGCCAGGACTACACAGAGAAACACTGTCTCAGAAAACCAAACCAAACCAAACCAAAACCAAAACAACAAAATAAGCACAAAGGCCTGAGAATATTTTTCAGATTAAAAGGATGCTTCTTAGCTGGGCGTGGTGTGGCATGACTCTCATCCCAGCGCTTGGGAGGCTGAGGTAAGAGAATGACAAGCCTGAGGCCAGCCATGGAGTCCTAGGCCCTGTCAGCCTGTGCCAGAGTCTGGTCCCAACCCAGCTTTCTCACTGGCTTTCCAGCGGCTGAATAAGCATTTAATTCCAGGCATTAGAATCCTTGTTTAACTTCATTTATTTTTCCTGATTTGATTTCTGATGGGTACAGTGACTAGACAGTGCCTCCCTCCCAATCCCTCATGGACAACGAGTTTAACAAAATCACCCGAAATACCCAAATATGCTCTCTTATGAAAGGCCGGGCATTAACAGTACAGCAGATGCAAAATTCTTCCATTCACATTTTCCTCCAACTGTCACTTATTCACAGAAAAATTTCCCCCTTTTTGACAGGTATCCTTCTGCTATCTTTTATCTGCATATGCAATGAATGACGTTTACGTAATTCCTTTTAATTCTTGTACAATTACTGTCTATTGAAAGACACGAACTTTTCTTTTAGCTGTTAACTATTAAAGGTAAATACTATGAGTGTTCACGAGTAGGTTCATTTTATTTGAGTAAGAACACACTGTTAGGTCATACATTAATTCAATCTTAATTTTTAGGTTACGGGTTAATTACTTAACATGCTATACTAAGTTATTTACAGGACTACATTTTTCTAACATTCCAATATTAATACATATATATGCATATATAATAAATTACTAAATTATTTTCAGAGTGTGTTTTATCGCCTTTCTACCAACAAAAAAATATAACAATACTGTTTCCCCATATCATCTAACAATACAGTTTCCCCACATCATCACCAGTTTCAAAAAAAAAAAAAGACTTGGATTTTAGGGCTGGAGAAATATGTCAGTAAAGTGTTTGGTGTCCAGTCATGAACGCCTGAGTCTGACCCCCAGACCCCATGTGACGGTCAGTTAGGTATGGTGGTGTGCACTTGTAATTCCAGCTCTGGGAATGTACAGACCAATGGATCTCTGGGGCTCATTAGCCACGAGCCAGGTTAGCTGGAGTTCCAGCCCAGTTAGAGACCTTGCCTCAAAAAAACCCAAGTGGAACCAAAATAACAGCCACAAACAAGAAGGTAGACGGTGTTTGAGGAATGATGGCATCTGAGGTTGTCTTTAGGTCTCCATCTGCACATAGGCAGGCACACACACACACACACACACACACACACACACACTCGGGTGGTATATTAAGGGCCTTTTATTGGCTACAGGCATCGGCTTTAACTGTGTGTCATTTGAATGGATTCACACTTTTGCACCTGAGCACTGGCTATTTCTAAGGCATAGTTAGGGGTCCTTCCTTCTTAGTTTTGAGTGACAGAGTAGCCTTCCAGACACTAAAATGTTCCTTCCTGACAGCCCAAGAATTTCAGGGCTAGGAGGGATGCTGAAGTGTCATGCAGAAGATGGGAGGATGGCTCAGTGGGTAAAGACCCTGCCATGAGAGTGTAAAGACTCAGATATCTAGAACCTGTGCATTGCCGTTGGGTACGGTGGCCCGCCTATAATCTCAGAATGCAGGAGGCAGAGACAGTGGGTCCCTAGAGCAACCTGGCTAGTCAGATTAGCTTGAACGACGAGCTCTGAGTTCTGCAAGAGACTTTGCTTCAATATGTGAGATACAGAGCAACTGAGGAAAACATCTTGTATCCACCTTGGACCTGCACATGCAAGCATCCATACACGCGTGCATATCAGACCTTTCTTTATCTGCCACAAGTTCATTTACAACTAAATACTGATGGTTGTGATTCGTGTGAACTAGTTTCAGCCTATTCAAGAGGCCATATGAGAAAATCCAAATAGACTAGAATGTTTTTACTTGTATCCTTGTGGTAGTTTCAATGTAACTGGTTCTCATACTCTCATAGGGAGCGTCACTGTTAGGAGGTGTGATTTTCTGGGAGTGGGTATGGCCTTGTTGGAGGAAGCATATCACCAGGAGGTTAGGCTTTGAGATTTCCTACTGAGATTTCCTTTGAGATTTACCACTGAGTGTTTCAGTCTACTTCCTGCTGTCTTCTGGTCAAGATGTAACCAGCACCACGTCTGCCTGCACCCTGCCATGTTCTCTGTCATGATGATAATGGACTGAACTTCTGGAACTGTAAGTGAGCCACTGTGGCCATGGTGTCCTTTCCCAGCAATAGAAACCCTAAGTAAGACAGTCGTCACGGGATTAAAGCGTCTTTATATTTGAAGGAAGGAATACATGTCACAAAGGTATAACCAGGAGACTTTTGTACAACCAGGAGAAAGGAAACTAAAATTCCCTGGCGTGGGGGCTGGAGAGACTCCTCAGTGGTTAAGAGCCCTGGCTGTTCTCCCAGAGGATCAGGGTTCACTTCTTGGCACACACACACAGCAGCTCACATCTGTCTGTGACTCTAGATGCCTTCTTGTGACCTTCACAGACACCAGGCGTGCAAATGATGCATAGACACACATTACGGCTAAACAGAAATGCTGCCTCTCTCTGTGTGGTCTCTTTTAATATTTGCAAGGTCTGAGTTCCGATTTGGGTAAGATGTAATGATATGAATCCCCATTCATTTGTATGCTGCAGTTCTTCAGCATATACTGGTGTTCCTTGGTGAACTGCCCACAGACAAATAACCCCAAAATTTGGGTAACTCCTAATGAGATTCTAGGGTATTAGCTTCAGGTTCACTGGGATGCTTAAAAACAAACAAACAAAACAATCACAACAGAACTATACCCTACAGAAAGTTCAGAAGTAGAAAAACTTTTCAGAGTGGCTGGGAAAACTTTTGCAACTATGACATAGACACTGGAAATACTTACCTGGAAAATGGGGCCAACCGTTTTGCAGGGGCCACACCACTTTGCTGAGAACTCCACCACCACAAGCCTGCTCCCAGCAGACTTTAGGAACTCGTTCAATTCATCCTAAAACCAGAACAAATGGGGAAATGGGTATGGTCAAAAACGGACGCTCACAAAGTCTTGCAAGAAATAAAACGAAAATCTTGCAAAGGGTACAAGAAAGAGGGCAAGTCTTCAAGCCCAGGCACCCCAACTTACTGTCCCACAGATAGCCCCGCCTTGTCTGAGTGAGTCTGAGGCTAGACAGAGCTTTCTTTGCGAGTGCACACGACTGCTGACACATCGGCAAAGAAGCTAGGAGTCTGCTTACCAAACGGCGCAGCAGCAGTGGCGGCTACCTTTGGGAAGAAGCAGGTCAACCAGGGAGAAGTGAGAGTATTAAAGGCGAAAGCAGGAGGGCGCTGCCACAGCTGGATTTCTGTAGTCCACAATTTTAAAGACCAGGTGAAACGCATCAATGGTGAAATGCCTTGCTTCGTGGGGGTGATCGCTCTTAAAGTATTAGTACCCTTCATTTAATGGTTTGACTTAATTGCTTGATGGAGAAGTCCTGTGTATATGTCAATGAAGCACTGTTGGCCAATAGAGAAGCAAGATAGGTGGGACTAAAAGTCCAGGAGGACTCTGGGAGGGAGAAACACAGGGAGTCACGATGTAGCCACCATAGGGATGAGAAGTCCAGACCCTATTCTCTGGTAAGAGAAATACTTAGATTAACAATTATGGGGTAAATACTTAAGTCAGAGCTAGCCAGTAAAAAACAAGCAAGGCCAACAGCTTCATAATTAATACAGCCTCCTGTGTGTTATTTGGGGACTACAACGCGGCAGAGCCCAGGCGACTGGTGGGGAAAAACCAAAGCGGCTGGCAAGGAAAAGGCTTCTCTCTGCAATTGCTCATTTGCTAAACTTCCTTAGTAAAATTTCCAGTAGTTGTTGCTATCACCTAATTAAAGTCTTCTATTACCCCCCCCCCAAAAGTCTTCCATCATGGGACCTCAGATCACTGTATTTATATTTGCTCGTGACTCTCCTAAACTAGCTGCTTGGGGCCTGGTTTTCCCTGTTGAGGTCACTTCTAGCTTTCCCTTGTGGCTTGCAGATGGCAAGTCATTATGGAATGCCTAGTGGGTGAGAGAATGATGGCTACCAGGGAGGGCTCATCACAATTTATTTTCTCATGGTTCACTGGAACTGAGATTAGCTCATCCACTCCGACGCTCTGAACTGTGATCTTTACGCCCACTGTGTACCGTCTCATCCTACTGATTTCACAGCAAAGGACACAGGCGGTTCACCAACTTTCTCAGGGCCAGCCAGCGGGTGCTGGTGCAGCCGGCGTTGTCCCTTTAGGCAGCCTGACTACAGAGCCATTTCTTCAACCATTGCTGACTCCTCCCAGAGAAGAATTGCATTCTTATCACTGCGATTAACGGCATCACCTAAGTACCCCATAATCAGGTTAGCTCATAATGGGATTAAGCAGAGCAGGGCCTATCCCCTGTCAGGGGTGGAGTTGGTTCCTTAGAGATGGCATGCTTGACGTTCAGCAAGGGGAACTTGATAATTAAGTTCCCGTTCGGTTTAGTACCTCCACTTTCCGGCCCTGTGTTTCTGCAGGGTGGGCGACTGAATTCTCACGCAGCCAAGATAAGCATCTGCTTCTCAGTTGTATCTCTATTTCCTGCGGTCTTAGAGATCAAACCCAGCACAAAGCATAAGCTAGACAATGCCTACTTTTAGCCCTCTTGATTTTTTTTTTTTTTTGAGACAGAGTTTCTCTGTATTGCTTTGGAGTCCGTCCTGGAACTTGCTCTGTAGACCAGGCTGGTTTCGAACTCACAGAGATCTGCCTGCCTCTGCCTCCCGAGTGCTGGGATTAAAGGTGTGCGCCGGTGCCACCACCTAGCCCCTCTTGCTACTTTCTATTTTGAGATAGAATCTCGCTGTCTAGCCTAGGCTAGCCTCTAACTTGCAGTTCTCCTGCCACTGTCTCTGGAGTAGCCAGAAAGTACCAGCCTGCAACACTACCCTGGCTTCTCATACGTTTTTGAGGTTGCATAGCAAGCTCCAAGTCAGCCAGAGTTACACGGGTTCTTATTTTAGTGAGACCCCAAGACAATCTCCCTTGACATTGCGCAACGGAGGGAGCCTGGGTATCGGACAATCATTCCGAGTGTCCCATGGAATATGCTTTTTAAGTGTCTTGTGAAATATTTCGTGAAGCCAACAAATACTTGCCATGTCATTAATCACCTGCACCATGCTTAACATCTGGGACTTGCTGGCCACCCACTCCTGTTGATTCAGGTGGATCACTTTAGTCGTCTCATTAATTACGGCATTTTGGATGGAATATAAAGCTAGCTTTTCTATTACATCATTCAACAGGTCACCTCGGAACCTGGAACTCTGGTAGATTCAGAACCTAGTTTCACCTTTAGGCTGTGACTAGGCAACAAGTCAGCCCGCCAAGAAGCTGAAAAACCAAGGGCATCGGATGTGGAAGGCACTCATCGGGTTCGCTCAGTCTCTCCCTTATCATTCTGTCATTGGCTTCTACACATTTCTTCCTTTTCCGACCTCCCCCCACCTGAGTATCAGAAACTCACAGCTAATTTCATTTAGGGTTTTAAAGACACTGTCCCTGGTCTGCCGTGCGGTGGCGTGGTCGAGGGAAAGATGCCCTCTCCCCGTTCCCCTTTGCCACCTGTGGCAGGCAGAAAGAAGAGTTGGCCTCAGGGCATGAATGAGAGCAGGGAGAGCTGGCCCTCTTCCCTCACCAGCTGCAGCACTTGGAAGGCCAGGCTCTGTGCCTCAACTTGGGCATCACGGTAGAGCTGGCCCTGGTGGTGTCAGCCTGGGTGAGCCGGCCCTGAGGGCATGAGGGTAGGAGAGCTGTCACTGCCCCTCGTCGCCTGCAGCCAATGGGTGAGCTAGCCAGGGTAGTACTGGAGAGCTTGCCCTGGGTGGTGAGGATTTGGGAAGAGCTGGAGGGCTGACCAACGCAGCTACCACCCAGGGCTATGAGCTGGCCCGCCCCGACATCCACCCGTCTGTGAACTGCTGGAGCACATGAAGGGGCCAGTCACACAGGACCTCCAAGACATGGAAACAACGGGATATCCAGGAGTTCCAGTGAGGATCCAGTATTGATAGTGTAGCAGAAACCAGGAACCTCAAACCAGGCCAGTGACTCATTGTAATGAACATTTTGCAAGTAAAGGTGTATGAACTAAAGGGTATACTGTGTGACTGGTGAAACACCACAGCTTCTATGATGAGATTTTTGTTTCTTTTTGTTTTTTTCTTTTTATTTTATTTCATTTTTCGGGAGGAGGATGCAAGGGCAGAGGGGAGATACAAAGGGATGGGGTAATGAGTGGGAATGGGGTATGTAATGTGAAATCCACAAAGAAGCAATAAAAAAACCCACCTTAATCCTGTAATGAGCTTCCTGTAAATTCATTTCATGACTCACAGTTCCCAGAACACTTGGCTGTTTTGCTCTAAACCACTCAGAATGTAAAGAAACTCCACTTTCACACAATCGAGCTTGGCAAACTTTTTTTGTAAGGGACAGATAATATTTTATAATATTTTAGGCTTTTCAGGCCACATACTGTTTTGTCATGACACCGTCTTTGTGTTCATAACTTTTAAAAACCGTTAAAAAAAAAAGCCGGGCGGTGGTGGCACACGCCTTTAATCCCAGCACTCAAGAGGCAGAGGCAGGCGGATCTCTGTGAGGCCAGGCTGGACCGACAGCCTCCAAAACAATACAGAGAAACCCTGTCTCATAAAACCAAAAAAAAAAAAAACCATTAAAAAAGTCTTTGCTAGCAAGTTGTACCCCCCCCCCAAAGCAATCAATTCAGAATTGAAACAAATCAAATAGATCTGGCCATGGCTTCTGTTCCTCGATTCCTCAGAGCAACAAGGACAATACAAAAAAAGCGAGAAACAGCTATTTCTACCATGAAAGAAAAATGAGCGACGTCTTAGGGTTTTCTATACCCCTGTCCTGTGTTCATGGTAAAGTAAGGTGGAGAGATAAGCTGCTTGGCCTGGAGGCATAAGTATGCACATGCATGTGCTAAGTTGGCCTTAGTCTTCCTTGACTGGAAAGACCAAACAAGGTGCTGCCAAGAGCAAGATGCTGTTTCTGGTGGCGGGCGTGCTGCTATTTTCCTCTATAACAAATAAGGGATAGAGCATTTCTGACGTCTTTGTGCAACATCCCTCTTCCCCCCTTTTTCCACCCCCTGAGATGCTTTGCTTATATGGCTGGCTCATCTAGACCCTGCTGGCATCAGAACTTGGTACCTTTCTACTTTTGATCCTTGTGTCATCCCAACGAGGGTCTGGCAAACTGCAGCTTAAAACAAAACAAACAAACAAAAAAAACCAAACGAACATAAACAGAACCCCAAGAAGCAAACAAACGTCACGATTACAGACAGAAGGTCTTACCTCCGTGAATTCTCACTTCCTGTCTCTCAGCTCTCACTCAAGGAGGGAAGACAGATGTGAGTCAGATCGAGCATCTGTGGGACCAGAGCTCTTGCTTTCCTGGCAGGTGAGGGACCTTGTCTGCATCGTAGGATATTCAACAGCATGGGGATGTTGGGCTCTACCTACTGGTGTCACTAGCGTCCCTGACTGGTGACAACCACAAACGACTTTTGGGGGTGCAAACTTGGGCATGCATTCCGTAACAGCTGCTTCAAACAGAGGGCTGACTTCTAGGTATCCCTTCCATGGTTTACCTTGCAAGTCTACTCGCAGTAAGGGGGGGAGCGATTGAAATGCAGGAGGGTTTTTTTTTATTTAAATTAGAAACAAGCCTGCTTGACATGTCAATCCCAGCTCTCTCACCCTCCCTTCCTCCCCCAGCCCCCACAACCCCCACCCCATCCTCCCTCTGCTCCCCAGGGAGGGTGAGACCCTCCATGGGGAATCTTCAAAGTCTGTCATATCATTCAGGGCAGGCCCTCCCCCAAGAGTCCAGGCTGCGAGAGCATCCCTCCATGTGGAATGGGCTCCCAAAGTCCTTTTGTATGCCAGGGCTAAATACTGGTCTACTATCCAAGGCCCCATAGATTGCCCAGGCCTCCTCACTGACATCCACATTCAGGGGGTCTGGATCAGTCCCATGCTGGCCTCTCAGCTATCAGTCTGGGGTCCATGAGCTCACCCTTGTTCAGGTCAGCTGTTTCTGTGAGTTTCACCAGTCTGGTCTTGACCCCTTTGCTCATCACTCCTCCCTCTCTGAAACTGGGTTCTAGGAGTTCAGTTCAGTGTTTAGCTATTGGTGTCTGTCTCTGTTTCCATCAGCTATTGGATGAAGGCTCTAGGACGGCATATAAGGTAGTGATCGATCTCATTATTGGGCAAGGACATTTAAGGTAGCCTCTCTACTATTGCTTAGTTAAATGCAACAGGTTTTGGTAGTCTGCGTTGCTAGAATTGATTTAGAATTCAAACCCTGGCCACAGAGAGAGACACAGCTAATTAATGAAAAAATGCCTGCCTCATCCTCCAGTTTCTGGAGGGTCATGAGGTCAGGCCATACTTCTGTCCTCTAGTGCTAAGACTTGCAGACACCACAGAATTTGCTGCCAAGCAGCTTGCCCAGCCCTAGGGCAAGGAGAGTACTGAGGAAAGCTTACAGAAGCCTGCTTGTTCTCAACTAGGATTTAAGCAGCATTAGACATCAGAAAATAGTCAGGTTTACAAATCTCATGTCTTAAGACAAAATGCTTGCTATATTAGCTGACAGACAGGGAAAGTTTCAAGTCTCAGAAGGAACGGTCTCAGTTGAGAACTTTCTAGAACAAGAGGAGTCTGGGCATTCCTTCTGGACCTGGCCAACTGCGTTGTTTTCCCCAACATGCGCTCATACGCATTTCCCTAGATGCATTCCTGACATCTTCATTGGGAACGTGAACGCCAGAGACAGTCTGGGGAGTTTCCTTATGAGCAGCTAGAACTGCAGTTTTGTTTTATTGTGTTTGCTATTTTTTTAAAAAAAAATTTAAACAGGGACTCAGTCCTGAGAAACGTCAGGGTTTAAAAAAAACTTCAAAAGGTGGCAAGAACACCAGAAAGTGAGAGTGGGAAGAAAACAGAGAGATAAAGGGGAAAAGGGAGAAAGTGAGAAAAAAAAAACTGAAAGAAGGTAGTTAAAATACAGTCAATGAAAGAGACAGGGTCCGGAGGGCACCATAGACAGAGAAACAGACTTACAAGCGGGACTTTCTTTTTTTTAAATGTTATAATAATTTTCTTATTTAACTTTTTTACGCATGTTACCCCCAGCGGTACTTTCCCTGTGTGGAGACGAAGAGTGAATTCTTTTTAGCGCCCCAGCCCTTTCTATTCAAGCCCCACAAAGATCTTGATACAAGGTGAAGGTCTCATGGGCGTCACCTGGGAACTTGGCAGAAACACAGGGCATCAGACTCTGCATCAGACCCATCGGCTGAAAGAGAGCCTGCTTCCTGACCCTGCATGTTACTCCTCTCGAGCACACTGGCATTTAAAAGAGTGGCTATCAAGACCCGTTTCTAACCGAGGCTCTCTGTAGACCTGCAAATGAGCTACATCCGCATGGCCCAGGAGCTGTGCACATTCCCAGACCCCGCCCTGGGCGTACTGACTCAGAACCTCTGAGGGTGAGGCCCAGCAGTGCAGGCTTTGACAAGTCCTCCAGGGATTCTGTTGCATGCTCGAGTTTGAGCAGTATTGGTGTAGATTTAAACAAAACCTAGAAAAACACAGCTGGATTGATTTATGTCAGTAAGGTGCAGGGCAGCTTCAACACCCGGAAGTGGTGGGGTAACATTCACCATACTTAACACCTTTTGAGTCTTGGCGCTTGCTAATCAACCAGGATGGGAAGCGCCTGCAGTATCTGCTCAGTTCCTGCCAGGCATTAAACCTTTTGATTGATGGATTTGGAGGTTCCCATGGTAGGACCTGTTCAACCTCAGTAAGGATAAAGGGATAGAGTAGAGAGATGCATGGCTATTGGCCATCATGCGTGTGTGTGTGTGTGTGTGTGTGTGTGTGTGTGTGTGTTTTACTATGGACCAAAGCCAAGGCCTTGACCATGCTAGACAAGTGTTCTTCCACTGAGCTATTACCCACCCACCCTTAGTTTTCCACCATCTGTTTTAATAATTTATAACCTAGTATGGCTGTCTCTTGCATGTATCAGCCTTGTGATACTGACAGTGAATGCACCAAACAGCTGCCCTCCCTAGATACCAAGTTTCCAATATCAGTACCCAAGAATCAAGTTGTCAGAAGACCAATGCGTTTGTGGGGCTGGAGAGACGGATGGTTCAGCAGTTAAGAGCACTTGTTGCTCTTTGCAGTGGACCCGGGTTCAG